CAATAATTTAATGAAAATAATATCCGAAGAAAGCGGCATTGGATACACTACAGTTTGTAAAACTGTAAGAAATTATAAAAACAATAAAGAAGTGAAGTCACCCAATAAAACAAAAAATCGTCCAACAATCAACGACAAAGTCGACGATTTTGAGAAAAACGCTATCAGGCAAAAAATCCATGGATTTTGGATTAAAAATGAGATTCCAACATTAAAAAAAATCGTTCAGGCCATCAGTGATGATATGGAGTTACCTACAATACCCAGGACATCTTTGCAGCGTATTTTAAAAGAATTGGGGTTTGAATATACGAAGAGAAACCGGAACAGCGCCCTGACCGAGAGAGGAGATATTGTGGTATGGCGGCAAAAATATATTCTAGACATACGACGTTATAGGAATGAAGGTCGAACAATATATTTTCTCGACGAGACATGGGTGAATGCGGGAGAGACTTGCAACAAGGTGTGGATGGACAAGACAATCAAATCGCACAGAGATGCTTTCCTAAAAGGACTGTCGACCGGGCCAAAAAATCCGACAGGTAAGGGCAAGCGATTAATTGTTGTTCATATCGGCTCAGCTGAGGGTTTCGTCGAGGGTGGTCTACTGTGTTTTGAGTCAAAAAAAAACACAGCAGACTACCACGATGAAATGAATGGGGACACCTTCTATGACTGGTTTTGCGGAATTTTGCCTAAACTGAAAGATAATTCCGTGATAGTCATGGACAATGCTTCCTACCATTCCGTCAAACTGGACCCCATTCCCACAAATGCTTGGAAAAAGGACAAAATTGTACAATGGTTAAGTTCCAAAGGTTGTAGTATCGAGACGCCGATGGTCAAACATTTAATGTTGGACAAGGTCAAAGAAATTAGACATCTTCATGACAAATATGTGATTGACGAAGAAGCATCAAAATCCAATAAAATTGTATTGCGTTTGCCGCCTTACCATTGTGAGTTAAACCCAATAGAGTTGGCGTGGACGGCTGTGAAAAATCACGTAAAATATAATAATACAACGTTCAAGCTAAACGACGTACAAAAATTACTGGTCGATGGCGTCAATCTTGTAACACCAGACATGTGGGCCAATTTCGTCAGACATACCATCAAAGAAGAAGATAAATTGTTCAATATCGATTTCATTACTGAAGAATTTGAAGAAGAAGGAACATCTCACGTATTGACAATTACAGGAGATACTTCTTCCGATTGTTCCGATTAATTTTAAATTGTGTATAGTTATAATAATAATAATAAGTTGTTTTTTATATTTATGACGTGTACCTATATGTACTAAAATATTTTATAATAATAATATATATACATAATAAGTTGTTTTTTATATTTATGACGTGTACCTATAGCTATTAAAATATTTTATAATACAGTAGACGCCGCTTATAAGACTCACGGATATAAGGTTCAGTCGCTTATTAGACTCAAAATCGCCTGGAACCTAACCTAACCGGACGTATCCAAATACATTAAAAAAAAATCGGTTGTAAGACTCAACACTTCGGTTATAAGACTCAAATTTCCATCACCGTGGTAATAATTTTAATATATAATACGAATACGAACAGTATATTTTCGGAATATTAGAACAAAATAAAAAACAAACTAAAATTACAAATTTTTTTCAAAATAAATAATAAATACATTATATGTACAACGATAAAACGTTATTAAATAACGATGAAATTGTATCAATTAAAAAAAAAAATAGTCATCGTATGTTTGTACGTATGGCACTACATCACTCTGTATAATGTATGTAATCACTGCATACACTCTGTATTCACTTCATGGCATGCCGCAGTCGCGGAAATAGTGGGGGAAATGTGGCCTCGGAACGGTATCCGCCGTCAGTATGCATGCGCAAAACGAGGATACTCTCTCGTGGGCCGGAGTATAGAGTCGCGTTTAGCACCTCTACGAGACGTCCGACCTGCCCGTCGGAGACGTATTCGAGTTCCACGCTAAATTTATAGCCGGCGCGTGGCCCTACTTTTTCATAAATGAGCCCCGGGGTGGAGTGGCGTCGCGGAAACGAGAGTAGGTACTGATTACGTATCGCTATATACAGGCATAAATACATGCGTCTCGAGGTTCGATTTTTTTTTCGCAAATCTCGCGTTTCATACGTCAGAGGGCGGAGGATCCGGAGGTCCGCTCGCCGAAGCGGTCGGATCGCCCCCTCAAACGCCTTTTGACGGCCGTCCAAACGGCGTTCGCCTTTCGCGTGCACTGTAACGTGGCTTATGAGTCATACATTTGACTCTTAACTTCATCTCAGTAGGTGGCTTGGTTGGTTAGGCGTTAGGACAGGTGACTCGAGGGTCGTGGTTTCGAACCCGGCCGCCGGGATTTTCGTTAATTTGCGGCGGCCGTGTTAAATCGTAATGAATTTTTTTTTCACTTTTTTTTTTTCGTCGTTTCGCTATCAGTTCCGTCTTATCGTATTTAACGAAAATGTTCGGTTTTTTTTTTAAATTCGAGTTTTAGCCCGTTTCGGTCGTATCCCCCTCCCCGTTTGGATCTTATTCGCGTTCCCCGCTAAATTTACGGCCGGCGCGCGGCCCTACTTTTTCAGATACGAGTCCCGGGGAGGAGCGTTGTCGCGGAAACGAGAGTAGGTAACGCTAAATATATGCGTCTCGTCGTTTTTTTGCCGTTTTTTTTTCTAAATTTCCAGTTTTAGTCCTTTTCGACACTTCTGCAATCCCAGTTGATGACTTATTCGCGTTCCCCTCTACATTTACTCGACCACCGTCGAGTAGGTGTTACTATATACAGGCATCGAAATGCATGCGTCGAAGGTTCCTTTTTTTTTCTCGTATATCGCGTTCTGAACTCAGTACGTAGGTAGATAGGTAGCACGGCCGCCGAAATTTTTTTTTCACTTTTTTCTTTATTATTACTTTTCGATTTCACTTCAGCCTTATTATATTATAACGAACATTTTACGATTTTTTCGAGTTTCACCGTCGCGCGTCGAAGACTTATTCGCGTTCCCCGCCAAATGTATAAGTCAGTACTTCACTCGAGTTGAGTGCCTCGCAGGAGATCGGAGAGCGGACAGTGTCGTTATTACTATATACGGAAATGAAAATATGCGACGAAAAGTTTCGATTTTTTTTCACGTTTTTTTTTTCGTCATATAAATATGATTAACGGAAACGTTTCCTTGTTTTTCTGAGGATCATGGGGAAACAAAATCCCAATCAGCTTATCAAGTTTCGCTTCTAAATCGCTCTACTACCTACTATAAACGACAAAAACTATTAAACGTGGCCGACTATATTAGGACTAGCACGGGCGCCCGAAATGTAATTATCTATTTATATACATTTGATTTACGTCATTTGGCGTTTTCATGCCTTGACCCGGACGTCGCACTATCCGACGAAGTCATATTGCCTACCAGGGTTGCTACGACCAAAGTCGAGGAACGTGACTGACCCGCTAGACCCCAAATACTATTACTACGGCGAACTTCACTCTAGGTGCACACGGAAAAAAATAATTTTGTTATAGTAAATAGTTGGAAATATTTTAGGTGGCCCAACATTATACATTGTTATATTACCCATGCCGTATTGGTTGGAAGTACTAAAAGTAAATTGTTGGCTTGTTATGGTTAGCGCAACAATAATGTATGGTATGATAAAAAATCGAACCATAATAAAGTGTTTGAACAACCATAATATAATATGGTTGTCATTGTTTGGTTCGTATAACTACAATCTTTTGTCGTGTCAACCATAAGATAATGTTGGATCAACAATTTATCTATTCTTGACCATCGTTATAATAACAAGTTTAAAAATAACCTGCGATAATAATATAACAACAAACGAAACCCCAAGCGGAAAACCCGATTTAACCATAAGATAATGTTGGATCAACAATTTATCTATTCTTGACTATCGTGATAATAACAAGTTTAAAAATAACCTGCGATAATAATATTATAACAACACACGAAACCCCAAGCGGAAAACCCGATTTCCCTGCCACAACCAATGACCACTTCGTTATGATACATCACACTCATTACAGTATGTCAGTATCATACGTACGAGTTATTACTTATTGCGTCGAGTGAGTACATCATAGTGACAACAACTGCCGTGTTTTATACTTGTATTACCGACTTAACTTACTGTTCGAGTGTTCAACACAATATACCAGTTTATGACAAAAATTACAGTCACAGTTGTTTAAAGTTTTTAGTTTTTACTCGACATTTTTACATAGTGGTGAAGTTTTGATGAAACTGCTGTTTTATTAATTTGTGATAGTTTTAAAATTGTATCTACCGACGACTGACTACTGTTACAAATGGATCAATTCGTTCTTGATATTTTAACGGGTTTACGTATACCGGAACAAATTATTCAAGAATTTAAAGGTGAGTTTTACACTTTTAAATTTGGTAAGCATATAGATTATCATATTTTTTAGGTAAGCATATTACAATAAATAATATTGGTTGAAATCTGGCTTTTGGGTTGTAGGTTAGATACCTAGGTAGGTAAATAAAAAACAGAAAACTTCTTATTAAACTCGTGTTTGGGTAGGTACTAGATAGGTATTTAACGCTTGATCGGATTTTCCATTTTTAATTTTCAAAGACTGCTCTATAGTATATTCCATTGATAGAACAATGACATTTTAACGTGTCTAAAAATTAAATTTGATTTTAAATATTTAATGAATTATATAGATCAACAAATTGATGAGGAAAGTTTCATAAGTTTGACAGAGTTTTAAAAAAATTGAAGAACTAAAATCTACTAACAGGAATTTGAACAATGCACAAAATACTTTAAGTGATCAAGATCCAGATCAAGTATTATCTCATTCATACAATTCCTTATAACTTTGAAAATATTATAATAATTGTAATTATTTACCTACTTACAATCAAAATTTTGTTTAAATAGATCTTAACAAACTCTCTATTAAACATTGGTTCAACTGAAATGATGTATGATTTTCCAATTGTACCGAGTTGTTATAGTAATGATGTTGGTGTAATCACTGCACAGAATGCATCACATCATGCAAATATAGTCCATAATATACCTAGTACCAGTAACAATGTACAATACCTTGGACACGAGCTTGGACATAATGCATCATTGATAGAGAATAATATGGTGACTCTTAGCGTTCCAACTCAAATTAAATCAAGTACTGTGGATAATACTAATGTATGCATTTTTTACCTTTTTGTCATAAGAAAATTCTTAGTTTTAATATACATATTTTATTTCTTATCAGGAAATTGAAGCTAAGAACTTAAAAGATATTTTAATCAAATACCATGATGGAACAATTATATTAGAAAATTATGAAATTCATAATGAGCTTAATAGCTCCATGAGAAATAAATTAAGTCATCTATTAATTAACCATTATTTTAGAAACAATGCAGAAAAAAAATATCCACAGATACATTAAAGAAGTTATCCCAAGCTATAGCATTTATCTTCCCTAATGAAAGCAAAGAAACATATTATACCCCCTACAAAAAATTAAAACTTACTCCTGCTCGTGGGAAATTATGGGATAAATACTGTAATATACGAAGGGAAATCAGAAATAGCACAAAACAATCAGATGGTATAACAAATAAATTGGATACAACAAGTCAAGAACAATTAGCTATAAATAATAAAGGTATTCATACTAGTATAATTATGATTTAGGTATTTATTAAAATAATTATGTACCATTTTTTTAAACTAAAAATCATATTTTATTTGCTTACTATTTGAACTTCCTGAATACTTGTTTTTATTTTTTTATATTGATTCTTAGAACTATATGAAGAAGATATATTATGGTTAAAGAACAATACTGCTCCATGGGACATAGTAAATATAAAATGTAAAAATACATTTCAAACAAGATTTAATTCATTGGTTAACGGAGTAGAAAACAATTCTTACCTAACTGATTATCCTGCACTTAAAAGTTCACTTGGGTTTACTTTGGTTAGAACAAAATATAAATAATTGTATTCATAATTTTAATAATATAGTTCGTTTAGGGTACCTACAAAATAGCCTATTAACATTATAATATTGTACATTAATTAAGTATCTACATAATTATAGATTGAATTGGATTTTGAAGAAATATATCCAGGAAAAAATCTTGTATTGTACAATAAGTTTGAAGTATTCAAAAATAAACTGCCAACATATGTAAAAAAATGTAACATCAAGGAAGTTGACCAACAAGTTGATGTAATCCAAAACTCTTTTGAATTAGGTTAATTTATACCAAATTAATAAAAATTATAATAAACCATACATTTTCATTGCTTATATTTAATTACATATTATACTTCAAAATTGTTCATAGGAAATGTTGTGACTATTGCTGCTCTTAAAATTTTTGTTCAGTTATTTAAGCCAGTTACTGTGTCAAAACGAACAAACGCTGGGAGTTCAAAAAATAGCTATTTCAGACCGTCTAAACTTGAAATACAGCAGTCATTTTTATACTACATCAGTGTAAGAATAAAATATAAAAAAATTATATGAAAAATAATAAATACATAAAATATTATATGAATTTGTTTTTCACAGAATGTATCGCAGTTAAAAGAAGTTGATGATGCCAAATCAAATAGGGCCTACGGAATAGGACAAAAATTGCAACCATATATGATATTTGTTGAAACTGGTGATGGGCAAGTGATCTCTTTTTATGTTGTAATTAACAAATACTTTTACAAGGTCGAAAGTGCACTAAAAGCAGTAGATATTTGCTTCAAATCTTTTTTTTCATTTCATTTAAACTATACCCCTGAATGTGAACAAATATGGAACTTCATTCAAAAATATATGTATAATATTGAAACTAAATATGATAAAAATTTTCAATCCGTCAATAGTATGATCAATGACTTAAATAACTGTTAGCTTATATCCAAGTATTATTTCACTATTCCATTTAATTATTTATATGTTATTTAAAAATGAAGATACAAGCTAATGACAAGAAAATATTTGGAAACAAAATTATTTTTAAACAATTAATTGCTGAAATTAACTATTTACAAAGTAACGGTATAAATTTAACTATTGAAAATAAAAGTATAACTGTATTCTTCTGTTTAGCTTTAATTCTTGGTGACAATTTGGGTATACATTCAATATTAGGATTTAGTGAGAGTTTCATGGCAAATTTCCCATGTCGGTTCTGTAAATGTTCTAAATTTGATTGTAACTATTCAGTTATTCATGACAACAGTAAATTAAGAGATGAGGAAAATTATTTTCAAGACTTGGTTACTGATAATGTATCTGCAACAGGCATTAAAGAAGCATGTGTATGGAATCAAATTAATGGGTTTCATGCAGTTTATAATTATTCAGTAGATTTAATGCATGACGTTTTGGAAGGTGTATGTTCGTATGATATTTCTAATATATTATATGAATTTATTTTAAATTTTAAATATTTTTCTTTAGAAACATTAAACAACCGCATTCAGTGTTATAATTATGGTGCTCTCGAAATTCAGAATAAACCACAGTTAATTTCCATTGATGTTTTGAAAAAAAAAAAAAAATTTAAAATGTCTGCTAGTGAAATGTTGTGTTTTAGCAGACATTTAGGTGTAATGATAGGTGACTTAGTCCCTGTTGATTCTGAAATTTGGCAGTTATACATACTATTAAGAAAAATTATTGAGATTGTGACTTTAAAATCAATACAACCAGGATATGCAATACTCTTAACAACTTTAATCACAGAACATCACCAGTTATATCTAAAATTATTTAACACAAACCTAAAACCTAAACATCATCATCTGTTACATTACCCATATGTTATGAGAAAAGTCGGACCAGTATCTCATTTATGGTCTATGCGTTTCGAGTCAAAACATAGGGAATCTAAACTAACTGCACACTCTATTACCAGTCGAAAAAATATTTGTTATACATTAAGTATAAAACATCAATTAAAACTTGCATACCGTTTATTATCAAAATCAAGCATACTATCATTATCATTAGACATAGGAAAAAAAATTTATTTATCTGAAACTATCATTGAAAATATTCAACTTGAAATATCTGATCCAGTTATTAATTTTAATGTTGTGAGCTTTGTATCTTGGGTAGAAGTGAAGGGTACTCGATATTCAACTAAACATAATATGACAATAATAGTTGATGTAGAAGACATGCCAACATTTATGACCATTAAACATATATTTTTTAAGCCCCAGAGTGAAATTCCATTTCTAATTGGTCAATTATTGAACACTAAACATTTTAACGAACATTTACAGGCATATGAGGTTGAAACTAACACTAGTTTAATATGCATTTCTTTTAACAGTCTTTTAGTTAAACATAGCCCATGTACTTTAAACACATTATCCAATGGTTGTACATACATATCTTGTAATTTATAAATGTATAGACATAATAATACCTATATTATATGATTTTGTATTTATTTTTATTTTTGATATTTGCAATAAAATTATTAACCATAATAGGTTTTTGAATATATTTTATTTTTGTATCTTTATTGTTTAAAAATATTGTATATTTATTACCTATTGTTTTCCCCATTTGTGTTTCAGTAAGTAGGTATATATATTTAATGAATTTTGTATAAGTATGTATGTTATGAGTATATTATAATATTTAAATATATAAAAACAAATATAATGAAAACTTATTTTTTAGTATTTTAATTCCCATCTCCAATGATTTTATGATAGTTATTTATGTTATATGTACTAATTTATAAGACGTTAAGTCGTTAACTACCTACCTACATAGATTTAAAAAATATTTTTAGGTGCATAATACTATCTATGGTCCTCAGAATATTCTATAATTTATTATAATTCTATGAATCTATATTTATGTAGGTACTTAATTAATGTACAATATTATAATATTAATAGGCCATTTGGTAGGTACCCTAAACAAACAATATTATTAAAATAATAAATACAATTATTTATATTTTGTAAAAAAAAAAATAAAAAAATATAACTTACCTAATTATTATGCTAAGATAACCATAATGCATTGCTGCTGTAACTATTTAGAATAGTTGGATTCACTATATGAGTCCCTATAAAATAATAGAACTAACCGAATTATTATGCTAGGATAACTATAATGCATTGCTGCTGTAACTATTTAGAATAGTTGGATTCACTATATGAGGCCCTATAAAATAATAGAACTAACCGAATTATTATGCTAGGATAACTATAATGCATTGCTGCTGTAACTATTTAGAATGGTTGGATTCACTATATGAGGCCCTATAAAATAATATAACTAACCTAATTATTATGCTAGGATAACTATAATACGTTGCTGCTGTAACTATTTATGATGGTTGGATTTACTATAAGAGACCCCTATAAAATAATAGAACTAACCTAATTATTATGCTAGGACAACCATAATATATAGTTGACAATTTAACCATAATATTTATGTTGTCGCAACACAATCATTCCAACATTCTTAATTTAGTACTCCCAACTATGCTAAAATGTTGTCTGTATAGCTACAATAATTAATGGTTACAGCAACCATTTTTATGGTTACTGCAACCAAATATTTTTTTCCGTGATGACCGAACTGCTAGACACCCACAAAAATTACTATATTATTTTTTTATCAAATTTTGAATTTCCGGCGGCATTTTAGAACGTTGTCGGCGAACATTGTTGCTTATATGGGCTACCACGCCGAACCGCGGTGATCCTAACCCTTATTACACACGGACCGGCTCGAGAACAACGACCAGATCAGATTTAGTTAATTTTGCGTTTTCGGTGACAGTAATGAACGGTGTCCGCGATTCGACGCAGTCGGATCGCATACCTGTTGACGTGACCCGCGGCCGTCACACATTGTCCGCTTTTACTACGGCGAACATCATTTCGAGGTGACTGACCTGCTAGACACCCACGAAAATACGACCAACTTCGAGGAGGTGACTGACCTGCTAGACCCCAAAAGATATATTCACGTAAATTATATAGCTGATGTACCGGTTCGTGTACCGGTCGTCACGTTGTCTACCCGGGTGACTACGTCCAACATCGAGTCGGAATGCCTACCTGGATAACATAGATGTGTGACCTGCTAGACACCAAAAAAACAGATGGTTGCTATAAGATATTTATGGACGCCCGAAATATTTAGAATTTTCTTCACGTAATTTATTCTTTAATTTTGCGTTTTCGGTAACAGTAATGAACGTCGTCCGCGATTCGACGCAGTCGGATAGCATACGTGATGACGGCCCAGCCGTCGTATATTGTCGGATTGGCTTTAAGGGTGACTACGACCAAAGTCGAGGAACGTGACTGCCTGCTAGACCCCAAAAAAATCGCAGCGGCTATGTGATATTTGAATTTTTTTACGTCATTAACATAAGTAAAAAATTTTGACAGCTATCCGGTTAACTTATCCACTGGTAACCTAATCCACCATCTAACATCCACCAATATAACATCCTTATCACAAATCCACTATCCTTATCACTAATCCACTATCTTTATCACAAATCCAATATCCTTATCACTATTTTTTTATCACAAAACCACTCTCCTTATCATAAATCCAATATCATTATCACTATTTTTTATCACTAATCCAATGTCCTTATCACCAGCCCTCCACATCACCCACGACCTCACCACGACTCACGAGACCACCGCTGCTTCCGAAATCGAAAACACTCATGACCCACACCCGGGGGTTTGGGGGTGTCCCCCAACGACGCTCGGAGAGCTAGTATACTATAAAGCGTGAATACGTGAGGCGCTCCCTATGCGTTAAATCGGCCCTGACTTAGTCAACCTCGCCAATGAGAAAATTCCATGGGCGGTCTCCCGGCGACCTTATTCGCGTTCCCTGCTAGATTTACTATTACGAGTACGCCGTACTTTTTTCCCGGCGGGCCCGCCGCGGCCGATATAGCGTGCGAACCGACCGCCGCCGTCGACGCGCGTTTTTTGCCGTTTTTTTCGAAAATTCGAGTTTTAGGCGTTTTAGGGCGTATCGACCTCCCCGTTTGGATCTCATTCGCGTTCCCCCCTAAATTTATAGTCGGCGCGCTGCCCTATTTTTTCAAAAACGGGTATCCCGGCGGACGAATCGATCGCCGAGAGCGCCGCGTCTTCGCCGTTTCGACGGTTTTCTCGACTTTTTCGACTAGAGTCGCGTTTGGCACCTCTACGAGTCTCCCGACCTCCCCGTCGGCGACGTATTCGAGTTCCCCGCTAAATTTATAGCCGGCGCGCGGCCTTACTTTTTCAAAAACGAGTCCAGGGGAGGTTAAACGTGAACGGAAACGTGAGTAGGTACCGTGTATGTATCGCTATATACAGGCATAAATACATGCGTCGCGTCGTTTTTTGCGTAGCCGCCGCTGCGTTATCACTCCTCCTTATCACTTTTCACGATTTTTTTTTCAAAATGTTCGACTTTTACTCCCCTCGGGGCCTCAGGCGGCCCCGTTCGGACCTTATTCGCATTCCTCGCTAAATTTACTATTATAAGTCGACCGTACTTTTTTCTCTGCGGGCCCTCCGCGGCGGATATCACGTGCGAACCGAGCGCCGCCGTCGCCCGCGCTTTTTGCCGTTTTTTTTCGAAAATTCGAGTTTTAGGCATTTTGGGGCTTATCGACCTCCCCGTTTGGATCTTATTCGCGTTCCCCGCTAAATTTATAGCCGGCGCGCTGCCCTACTTTTTCAAAAACGAGTCCCGGGGAGGACCGGCGTCGCTTAAACGAGAGTAGGTACCGATTGGGTATCGAGTAGGTACCGCTATATACAGGCATAAATACGTGCGTCTCGAAGTTCGATTTTTTTCGCAAAGCTCGGGTATTATACGTCCGAGGGCGGCGGAGCCGGTCGTCT